AATTAGTAATTTTACAAAAGAGCTTTTAGTGATGAGTGACCACAGTATAGTAGAATTTTACATTATGTTTGAAAGTGAGGTAGATAAATCTGAATGAAGGGCATTAAATTTATGTTGAAGAAGCTGTGAAAGCATCAGGTACAATCACCAACACCACACCCCTTCCCACGGCACCTTCCCATGCAACCGTAGAAGGTGCAACACCTGCCCTTTCACCTCCTCCCTGCTTACCATCCAAGGGCCTAAATAGGCTTTCCAGGTGAAGCAGCAGTTCACCTGTACCTCCTCCAATCTGTTCTGTTGTATTTGCTGCACCCAATGTGGCCTACTCCACACTGGAGAAACCAAACACAGACTAGGTGACCACTTTTTAGAACCCCTCTGGTTCATGCACAAAGCATGACCCTGACCTTCTCTGCAGCTGGTCATTTTAACACAGCATCCTACTCATATGCCCACTTGTCGGTCCTTGGTATGCTGCAATGCTCTAGTGACTTACATCGCAAACCGGGACAACAACATCTCATCTTCAGACTAAGCACTTTACAACCTTCTTAATATTGAGTTCAGCACCTTCAGATTTTGAACCCACTCCCATTCCTTCCCTTTTCTTATAGCATTCTCTGTCACCATGTTCTCTCCACCTTCCCCCCAACTTCAGTGGGACTATCTGTCCTTTCCAGTCTAGCAGTTAGACACATCATTGTTCTGTCATTCTCATATTCCAGTCACTTAATCTGTACTATCAACACCCTTTCTCCCTCAGCACTCCACTTCCCCACTACTGCATAAATGCTGTCCCCTCCACACTTCATGTCAGCTCTGATGAAAAGTCATCTAGATTCAAAGCATTAGCTTGCTCTCTCTCCGCAGATGCTGCCTGACCCCCTGTGATTTCTAGCATTTTTTGTATTCAGTACAGAATTCTAGCATCTGCAGTAATTTGCTCCTTCGAACATCAGCACAAGTTGGATGAGCTGGATTGGGAAAATACATTAAAAGACATGATTGTACAGAGGCAATGGACAATATTTAAAGAATTATTACACAGCTTAGAGCAATTGTATTTTCTTTCAAGATGCAAAAAGTCGAAAAATATGAATTATCACAGCTAACAAAGGATGTTAAGGCATATAATTTAAAGAAAAGGCTTATAAACCAGATAGTAACAGTTTGAGGGGAGGTGATGGCCTAGTGGTATTAGCGCTGCACTGTTAACTCAGGGACCCAGATAATGTTCTGGGGACCCAGGTTTGAATCCTGCCTTGGCAGATGGTGGAATTTGAATTTAATAAACATCTGGAATTAAGAGTCTAATGATGTCCATGAACCCACCACTGATTATTGGGAAAAACCCATCTGGCTCACTCATGTCCTTTAGGGAAAGGAACTGCCATCCTTACCTGGTCCGGCCTACATGTGACTCCAGACCCACAGCAATGTGGTTGACTCTGAACTGCCCTCTGGGCAATCAGGGATGGACAATAAATGCTGCCTAGCCAGCGACACCCTCATCCTGTGAATGAATGAAAAAATACAGTAATAAATTAGAGATTTGGAAGATTTTTTAGATTAGCAAAGGAGGACTGATAACGTAAGGAAGAAGGTAATATGATAGCCATCTAGCAACAAACATAAAAATGGATTGTAAAAGCTTCCACAAGCATGCAAAAAAGAAATGTTTGACTCATAAATGTGTGTCGATCAAAAGCAAAGTCTGGTGAGTTTATAATTGGGAGTAAAGAAATGTTAGAGAAGGTAAGTGATTAATTTGTGGTTTTTAGTTCACTCATGGGATGTGGATGTTACTGGCCCAGCAATCGATATATTCCTTAGGTTCCTTAGATAGCATTTTCTAAATCCAAGGCTACTACCATCTATAAAGACAAGAGGAGCAATAGGAAGACTGCTATCTTAAAGTTTTCCTCTAAGCCACTCATTATGTTGACTTGGAAATATATCATAATTCCATCAACGTCTCTGTGTCAAATCCTGAAACGGTCTCCCTAATGGCCTGTGGATATACCTACATCAAATAAATGGCAGAGGTTCAAGTAATTAGCTCAGAAAAGAAATGACTGCAGATGCCTTTCCCAGGGCAACTGGGAATAGGCAATAAATGCTGGCTTAGTCAACAATGCCCAAGTCACCCAAGTGAGTTTTAAAAAGAGGCTGTGATAAACGGACAATTGGATAAAATTATACACAGCATGCCTTTCCAAATGGAAAATCATGTTTGATAAAGTTATTGGAGCTTTTTGAGGATGCTACTAACAGAATTGATAAAGCAGAGTTGATGGATATAGTATATTTGGATTTTCAGAATGCTTTTGGTAAGGTCTCCCACAGGAAGATGGTCAGCAAATTTAAAAGCACATGGCATGGGATGGAATGTATTGGCATGGATTATAGATTGGCTAAAAGATAGAAAACTGATGGTTCTAACTGTGGTGATGCTTGTCTCTGTACTAAACTTGAAATTTGTGAGATAACCCTTGACATAAATATTCCCATGCCAAAAGGATAGGATCGTCTATCAAAAATGGATCATCTATTTCTTCTGGGAACATTTTCGACTTTTCTTCAGTTGTAGACTGTCCTACATCACTAAAATCTATGTTTCGGTACCTATTTGTCATCTTGCTTTTCTGTGGCTGTGTCACACTTTGGCACATTGTCTGAAAGTGATTTAATGCATTTTAGATAAAGCATTCTTCTTTAATAGTTGAGCACTCTCTGTATCTAGGACATTTCCTAACTCCATAGCCCTGACAAAGACCTTTAATATCTGATGTCTATGTAATGTGCTAGTTTCTCACATGAATCTTTTATGTATTTGCACCTTAGGAACTGAATGGACTCTTCTGATCTCCTGTGATAAGGTTGATCTTCTCCTCTTAGGACTGATTTGTGTTGCTTACAGAATTCTGCTTCACTCACCATCTCTATGGTTTTCTCTAGAGTAAAATCTTCTTTTGACTGTAACAAATCTGACAAAGACTCAGCAATTCCAATAATAATTCTGTGTCTTATGAATTCTGACTTTAAATCACACAGTCACATTCCTCCACTAATGTGTAGAGGCACTTAATGAATCCTGAAGGCCAACATATAAAGAATTCTGTAAGAAAATGCATTATTTACTATTCTATTGTATTAATTACTTTGAATTATGTAACCATATACTTTTACTTTCCTATCAATGAATGTGAACTGGTTGGTGGTGAAACTGTGCATACTGGGTTTGTTTCATGTCAGTAGAATGGGAATCAAAGAAGAAATTGGTGTCCTGACTGAAGAACGGAATTATAGGAAGGCAGCATGGGAAAATATTGGTCAAGAAACAGAATTTTGTCAACATTTGCAAAGTAATTTTAAAAGTTATGTCAGAGAGTAAGGTCACTGTTCCTGTGACCATATATATGCTTTCTTCGCTGCAGCATTGAAGGAGATAAGAGAGTTGAAGATAGAACCCCAGGCAGCTATCTGTGTTTATGCAAGCATAATCTTGAGTGGCAAGCTAGAGAAAACACATCTGGCCATAACTTCGAAAAGGACAGTGATGTAATTAAAAAACAATTAAAGGGGGCAGAAACAGGTGTTACTTTATATGGCACATAATCAGAGCAAAGGTGTGCAAAACAAGGACTTTGTAAACAACTTACTGCCACAGTTGGTTAGAGAGTTGGGTCAACTCTTTCAAAATCATTCCAAGAGATCTATTGATTGATTGATTGAGCTTGGTTTGTGTGACTTCAAAGCAATAGTGTCATTGTGAATGTGTACTACAGATTAGTAATTTGATAAAGGTGTACCATTAGTGGAATGGTATTTGAAATATTGAGTATTGTTGATATCTCGGCTGAACCTTTAGACCCAAAAAAGGCAATTATGGCAGGTATGTAGACCGTATGTCCCAAAGTCTGGCACAGAGTATCAAATCATATATGTCTTCAGTTGTTTGCAACAAGCAAGGCATTGACTGCACCCAAACAGCCCAGGCATGCAAAACTTGCAACATAGTGGCCTAAATTAGATGCGATTATCAATTAGACAACATTTGCTGGATAATCCTGAGTCTGCAAATAATTACACTGACAAGCAAATTGTCAATTGGGATCACAGTGTGTGCAATTGTTTGTACTGGAAACCACATATATTAATACATAAAACTTTGTTCTTTGTATGCTGAAAGAACATGTGCATATCCTACATGTTAGAGATGCCCATGATTGAGCAGCACAAAATGGCCAACAACTGCACATGGCTAAAGCAGCAGAACATGGCTGACAGTAGTCTTAGCGAGCTTGTGAAAATATTTGCTTAATGTAGCCTGCACAAGTTAGGACAATAGTAGCTCTGTTGACACAAGGTAACAGAACTAAAATAGAACATACAGTGTAAGATATGGATAAGAACATTTCACACTAAATTTAACTAGTGAATCTCCCTTGAATTATTTAATCAATCTGTTGCAATACCAAAAGTAGGTTTTAGTTTTAGCTAGTTAGTGGGTTTTAGTCATAGATATAGATTCTGAAGTAGTTATAGATTCATCTATATACAAAAAAAAACTAAAAGCATTAGTTGCAAAGATTCAAATACAATTATGAGAACAAACACGTCTCAGACAGTAAAAGCAACCTCCATATCATTACAAGGAGAATTGAATCACAGGTACAGAAACTAGCAGACATTGGAATGGGGGTTGAATGAATATATTGTAAGACACCCCAAGAATAAAGCCAGGGGTGTCTAGTAAACACAGTGAGAAAGAAACTACTCTTAAATCGTTAGCTAAAGGATTCTAATATTAGGTGTAAACACATAACTTTGTTAAAATTGATATCTTAACAATTAGTAAAAATCAATGTTCTCTTGTATTTCTGTAATGAGGTTAACATACAATTTAAAAGGTCCTTAAGTGGTAGTTAAGTATCTGATTAATTAGCACTTAATATGGTGTAGCTGGCAAATGTCTGGGACAAAATGCACTTGAACACAGTGTCCTTGTGAAAAGCCCCAAGAAGGGACATAAAGAGACCATGGGGGACTGGGGTTGACTACAAACCTGCCTATCTCTAGCCATGCAATCATATGATTAGCTTAATTGGAAAGGTATGTAATTTTTTTTCTATTCATTTGTGGGGTGTGGGTGTCACTGGCTGGCCAGCATTTCTTGCCATCCCAAGTTGCCCTTGAGAAGGTGATGGTGAGCTGCCTTTTTGAATTAATAATATGATTAGTTTGCAAATGTTAAATGCAGATGAAACAAATGCATAAAAATGTATGTTTTCCTTTGTTTGGTGAAGAGCTCTCTGGATTTTCAGAGGGTTTCTTCCCACCAGTGAAATGTTAATAAACTGCTTGTTACTGGAAGTGAGCTCCTGGGTGTCGAGTGAATTATTTGGTCATCCCACCTCAACACTGCACCTGTTTTGATTCAACAAAATAGATGACAGACATTTGCTTGCTCATTTTTGACGGCAATGTTCTGACCAATCAGAGTTAGTATGCCTGCTTTCAAATTTGTTGGAGAGAGATTTTAAAGTGGAGTCTTTAATCCTGCATTCAGCAGCGCAAATTGATCTTTATATGGAACCACTTGCTAATGCCATGTGGGAGATGTCTCTGGAGACAGACTCCAAGATGCTCTGACTCTGTCAATCAGGTACAGTACTTTATACAGTTTGTATTATAATGATTATGTGCAACATTGACATCATCCCCTTTTACTGTATGCTCCTCCCAGACATTTGCCAGCTGCATTGTGCTGAGTGGGTGTACCTTGTGAAACTGTGATTATTTATTTTAATGGCTATTTAATGTTTTGCAATTGCTTTTACCCCTTTTCAATGCAATCTCTTTCTCATTATTCTTCCATGAGATTATCTGTTTATACCATTTGTTATATGTCATCTGGTCCTTGGTGTTTACACTATATTTGTCATTCAATCCCTGTGCTAGCGGGCCTCCCTGCTATCCATCAACTTCTAACACTGATTCTATTCAATCCTCCCTCCTCACAGGCATGGTGTGGGGGTGGTGGGGAATTCTCACTACTGTCTAAGGTTACCTGTCCATAGGAATTTAGTTAATTCCCCAATGCTAGTTTGCAAATTGCATTTATAATTTGAACATATCCATATAGGCTTACTTAAGAAGTCTCGATTATTGTGGGATCGGACTCTTTTCTCTTTTCTCTCTTACAAACTTTGAACTAGCTGGTAAATGGGTCTCAAGGTTTTGATTTGATCTGATTTATTATTGTCACACGTACCTAAGTACCGTGAAAAGCTTTGTTTTGTGTGCAGTACAGCCAATCATAACATACAAAGACACAAAGATCATAAGGTGATTGACAGAGCAAGGAATGCCAAGTTACAGCTGCAAAGATAATACAAAAAGCAAGATGAACTTTAGAATTGAAATTTGAGAAGTCCATTCATTTTTCCAGGGCGTTTCTTATCAGAACCAGTTTCTGTGTCCAAGGCTAATTGTTTACAGAAGTCCAATTAGAGTTGTGATGTTTAGTACATTAAAACCACTGCAAATTGAAACTACTCTTATTGTATGAATATGTGTGTACACATATGTGTAATTATAATTACCAAAAGGATCTTAATTAAGGTGGGTTGAACTTTCCCTTTCTGTTCCATTTTAAATAGGGAACTTTATATTAGCTTGCTACCCTATTGTGTGATTTCTAGGAAGCACTTTATTTCCTTATCTGATTGCCATGAATATGAAGGCTATGATTCTGACAATGTAAACTATTTCCTCCGCTATCTATTCTCTTTGGCAATTTCCATATCCACTATAAACCACAAGCCATGTTACCTTCATCCATGGACAGCTCCAACAAAATTTAAAGCCTGACCATTAACTGTCAATCATCATTAATTGGTACATTCTCCACAGCAACACCTCTACCAATCACAGTCCACTTGCTAACCAATCAGCACTGTCCTGTTATGCAGTATAAATGCGGTATTTCCCTTTAAAGTAGTATTCTTGAAAATTATCTTCATGGGGTAGGGGAGAGAAAGAAGCCAAGATGGCGGACAGGAGACAATCATGGCTGCAAGAGCTGCTCCTTTTTTTTTCAGTGCTGGAATTTATTTCCTCAATTTGTTGAAGCAGTAATTACTGTTTTACAAGCTCTTGCTTTGTTTTGGAATTTTTGGAGAAAAGGTCAAGACAACAGTAGTTTAAAATGGGAGAAGACAGCAGGAGTCCACATGGAAGGTTGAAAAAAGGAGCAGTGAACTCTCTCAGCTGAGTGCCTGTGCTGTGAAATTACAAGCATCTCTGGACACTGGAGTTCAGTCTAAGAAAAATAAACAAACAGTGAAATTCAGAGATAGTAGGAACTGCAGATGCTGGTGAATCCGAGACAACAAGGTGCAGAGCTGGACGAACACAGCAGGCTAAGCAGCATCATAGGAGCAGAAAGGCTGACGTTTCGGGCCTAGACCCTTCATCAGAAATGGGGAGAGAGGGGGAGGTGGATAGAAGATGGATAGAGGAGAGGATAGGTGGAGAGGAACCAGACAGGTCGAAGAGGCGGGG